AAGAAGAAATCATAATATGCAAACCGTGGGTGATGAGGACATGAAATACTACAGAGCGCGTGCCTACAACAGACATGCACAGTTCACATATTAACAGAGATATAAGTCTTTGTAAAAGTGATATGTTACATATAGATGAACCCTCATTGGCTGACTTAACTCATGACATCTTATGTATTTCAGATGCTCCAACAATTAGGCCTCATGTACACTGCTCATGAATGTCAGTTCAAGAGCATTTGGTGTTTTTTTGCCAAAGCCCCTGAAATCAACTCAATAAAAGCCTATGTGTCCATGCACATATAGACTTTTATCAGAGTTTGACAGCAGCAGCGTTTAGGGCCACTGAAACGTCCCTCTCCTGAACACAGAAGAATCGCATTCAGGAGAGGGATGTTTTGGCCAAAAAAACACTAAACGCATGTAAACACATTTGGAACTTGGGCGTCTATTTATTTCAATGGCAAGTACTCTGGCCAATGAAACGAATAAATGTCTTAGCCCTAAACAACGGGTAAATGCGGGTAAACGCGGCTAAACACAGGACCGCATTTAGCATTTTTCTGCTACCAGCAGAAAAACATTTGAGTGTGCATGAGGTCTTAGAACTGCTCCTCACTTTCTGTGTTCATTCTTCTACTGTAGTATCTTTACAGTATCTAATGCAAGCGATGAGTAAATGCTGGACAGTGTTCGTTGAATTATCACTGAACACTTTAAAAAATGTGCTGACCCCAAACACAATGCCCAAAACCCAGTAGGACCCGAATTCGTTTTTTTTTTTTTTTTGGCCTTTTTCAAGGCAGGTTTAGAAGGTTTAGTAAAGAAAATGGCATAGGAAGCCAAGCACTGCTAATGGAGACATGTACCAATGAAAAAAATACCATTCAGTGAGAAGCAGGCCTTTTATTGCAACTTAAAGAAAAAAAATACACAGAACAAGGGGAATGATGCTGTGCTACCCCAACCCAATAGGTAAGTGAGGAAATTAGAAAATGTGAACAAATGGATATTAAACTATACCTCACTCTAGTGAATCAAAAAATATGAGATGAAAAATACATACTGTATATATTGTTTTTGGTCACATTGTTATCCTTTCACCTTTCCTCTGGCACATTTGATTTTTATGTCATGTGACTTAAGACGTTTAGTACCTTGTTATTTATTTATTCACTTAATTTAATAGTTTTTTTGGGTGTGTTCACTTTAATATTCACTGCATCGTGCGTGTTCCATTTATGGTAGTGCATTTGTTTTTCCTGATGATTTTATTCTTTTGTCATCCTTTTGGTATCACATGTATGATTATAATTTTTTTTTCATCGCATGTTTTTGTATTCACTAGAGTGAGGTATATAGTTCAATATCCATTTGTTCACATTTTTTCATTTCCCACTTACCTACTGGGTTGGGGTAGCGCAGCACCATCCCCCTTGTTCTATTATTTCACTATTTTGGTATTTTAGTTAGGTGCTAGCAGCCACTCTGGTTTTGTTTCGGTTTCAAGATTGGCAGTGCACTAGGTTCTTTTTGTCGATTATGAAAAAATACACAATTACTTTAAATAACATGATTAGGGCATGTCTTAAACCAGCATGTAAAGCAGTGCATTTGGAAGATGTACTACAGTAAAAGTGACAAAAAAAACTACTGCTTTTAAAGCCATCCATAGAAGGAGCCATAGAAGGAGTGTTGATGGGGGAATCCCTCCTACGTAGGCATTGTGTTCTCTTGGCGGGGGTGGGGGGAGAAGCTAGTAATAATTGAATGTTAAGTCTGACAGGCTGGTTGTACTCAAGTTGATCAATAGATTAACTTGGGTACATTCAGTCTGCCCATACATGGTTCCAATGTCTTTAGCAGGGACCAGCTTAGATTCAAACCATCTATGGCCGGTCATTGTCAGGTCATTGTGCATCGTGATTGATGATGGATCTACATTGCTGGATGTGATTGGCACTGGATTCACATCATTTTTTTTTTTTGTGAATGAGTAACAAGGGTACTATATACCCCATACTGATTTACATGGGGGGATGAAGATATATCTGGGGCCACATTATTTTAAAAGGGGCTTCCAGACTCTGAAAATTCCCACCCTGCAGGGCCCCCCACCCATTCACTGGTTTAGGGATGTGAGGATGAGGCCCTTGTCCCCATCAACATGGGAACAAAGTGCCTTGTCAGGGCGACTCCCCCCACTAAAAATATACTCCCCATGTTGGAGGCATGTTTCCTGGTATGGTTTGGGAGGGGGGGCACACATTCATTGCCACTTTCTTCCCCGGCCAGGCTGGGGTAAAGGGTATGGTACAGAATTGGGGGAAGGGAGGAATCCCACCCATTTCTGTGTGTGTGTGTGTGTGTGTGTGAGGTCCTCCTCAAAATTCCTTTTGTTAACCACTTGCCCTCTGCCCTATAGTAGAAGTACTGCTACAGGGTGCAGGGCTGTGCAAAATCACATATGTATACGTGATTTCTAGTTCTGGGTAGGGGGCGCACGCATGTGCACATGCCGCCCTACCAACACTGCTATTGGCGGCTAGGGATGTCAGCCACCGGGTCCCAGCCATCACTCGGTGATCATTAGCGAAAGCTGACAGGGGAGAGACCTGTGTGTAAACAGCAGAGATATACAAAGCAGCATGTCTCCCTTACTAGTGCTGTGTTTACTAACACAGCACACAGTAAAACACACACAGCACATTATGTAAAATAGCACACAGTTAACCTTTTGATCGCCACAGATGTTAACCCCTTTCTGCCCAGTGCCATTAGTACAGTGTCAGTGCTTTTTATTAGCTATGATCACTGTATTAGTATTACTGGGGATGTCAGTGGCAGTTAGTCAGTTCCCCCCAGTGTCAGAATGCCCGCCACAGTCTCGCTATAAGTCGCTGATCGCCGCCATTACTAGTATTAAAAAAAAAAATTCCATTATATATATTGCCATTTGTAGACACTATAACTTTCACGTAAACCAATTCATTTACATGCATTGGGATTTTTTTTAGCAAAGACATATCTCAGAATACATTTTGGCTGAAATTTATGAGGAAATTTGATTTTTTAATTTATTTTTATTGGCTATGTTTTATAGCAAGAAGTCAAAAATATTGTGGGGTTTACTTTCAAAATTTTCGGTCTTTTTTTGTATAGAGCAAAAAATAAAAAAACGTACAGGTGATCAAATACCACTGAAAGAAAGCTCTATTTGTGAGAAAAAAAGGACATAAATTTAATTTATGTACAGCATTGCATGACTGCGGAATTGTCAGTTGAAGTAACGCAGCGCCGTATTGCAAAAAATGGCCTGGTCAGGAAGTGGGGTAAATCCTGGAGGGCAAGTGGTTAATACTCTGTTGTAAACGATCATTCACACCGAAACAAACTGGCCAGTGAAGCTGGCTGATATCTTTGACGTTTACAGGATGGCCATGACTATATGTAGTCAGTGACATTGCTCAGGATGCTCACTGGCTTGCTTACACTTTGAAACCAGCCAGAGGGTGGCGGAAATCTGTCATCATCTAGTGAAGGTAGCCATACCGCAACTAATAGAATTCATTGGCAAATTTGGGCATTCCGCTGACCCGTTCAGTAAACTGCAAACTGTTTGGGTTCAGGACCACTCATAGTCAATTCATACCCAGGGGCGGACTGACCATTTGAAAACTCGGGCACTGCCCGAGGGCCCGGGGTCAGTAGGGGGCCCCATGAGATGCCCCCCTGGTACCTTTTTATAGGCTTTTTTGAGTTTAGGCAAGGACACAGGGGCCCCATGATCCCCTATTGCCCGGGGGCCCCATGAGTTGTCAGTCCACCCCTGTTCGTACCCAATGCTCATCCCTGTGTAAAAAAAAAACACAAAAATCAACAGGCAGAGTGGGAACCCCTCGTAATGGCCACAGCAGATATGCAGATCCGGGAACACAACATAGAGATCTCACCAATAGAGTCCCCAATAGATATAAGAAATTGTTAGATAATTCAACTCTCACAGGATCTACCTGAAATGAAATGTCAGTTTTGGGAGGAATAATGCTTTAAGAAATATTCTAGAAAAGAAAGTGGAATATAATTGAGGTTTTGCTCATGGGGGTCTGTTTATCAATGTTTTTCACCCAAGATTCACATTTTATTTTTAACATAATATCCAATTAGAAAAAATCTGTAAATCTTAAATTACAGTTTGGTGAATCTTGGCTGAGCACATTGATAAATAGACCTGAGTGACCAATCAGGTTTTATCTTTTATTGTTTGTGAAAATGAGGATTATTTAGTCTTTTTCACAAATTGCTTTACTGGTTGTCTGCTATGTGCTATCTGTGTTATGTCATGAATTCAGCTACAAACAAAATACATCAATGGTCCTGTATACTCACACTAAAGAACTAATACCAACCACCAGGCATGGAATGATACAGAATAGTGGTGCCACCTACTGGATGTTTTTAACATTTCTGGAAACTTTCCTAAACTATCTGTGTTAGATGACAGAGACAGACAGACAGACAGACAGACAGACAGACAGACAGACAGACAGACAGACAGACAGACAGACAGACAGACAGACAGACAGACAGACAGACAGACAGACAGACAGACAGACAGGTTATATATATTTATATTATATATAATGTTGCATTTTTTTTTTTGCAACACACATTAAAAAATGGCCTGAAAAGTAGAACTGAAGGCAAAACTTTTTTTTTCTCTATTTTGGATAAAGGGAGAGTTATAACCCGTCAGTCTGTTTTGCCATCTGTGCCCCCTTGGAGAGATTTACCTTCACTTCCTGTCCCATAGTCAAAACAGGATGTGTCCCCGTTGGAAGATTTCCTCTATTATTTTTCCGGGGACAACCCACATTTTGGGATTTTCTTTTGCTTTCACTTTCTTTTTTTTTTCTTTAACCGCCTCCCGCCCGCCATATAAGGAAATGGCAGGCGCAAGGTGGTTCTCTCGTTCTGAGAGGATGTTATATGATGTCCTTCCACTCTAACCATGCGTGCGTGCCCCCGGGGGTGCGCAGCGCAGCGATCGTTGGTGCGCTGTGTCCCTGGGACACAGCAGTTCAAGGGAAAGAGCCGAAAACGGCCAATCACAGCTGATCGCATGTAAATAAGGAAATGCCGGTTATCGGCATTCCTCTCCTCACCAGCTATCATGCTGAAAGCTCATGAGGAGAGGAGATATGGTAATCTGCATTTCAGAGGGGACATGTACACTGATCATCAGGGCACTGATGATTAGTGCCCTGATGATCAGTGTAGCCCCAGCAGTGCCACCTGTCAGTGTCCATCAATGCCACATATCAGTGCCTACCAGTGCACATCAGTGCCACATATTAGTGCCCATCTGAGCTGCCTTTCAGTGCCACCTATCAGTGCCAGTCAGTGGTGCCAGTCAGTGGTGCCTATCAGTGCCACCTATCAGTGCTCCCTATCAGTGCCATATATGAAAGCTGCCTTTCAGTGCCCATCAGTGATGCCTGTCAATGCACATCAATGCCACCTACCAGTGCCTCCTCATCAGTGCCCATCAGTGCTGTCTTTCAGTGCCCATCACTGCAGCCTCATTAGCTCACATCAGTGAAGGAGAAAAAATCACTTATTTACAAAATGTCATAACAGAAACTAAGAAAAAACTTTTTTTTCAACATTTTCAGTTGTTTTTGGTTTGTTTAGCAACAAATAAAAAGCCCAGAGGTGATCAAATACCACCAAAAGAAATCTCTATCTGTCTCAAAAAAATTATAAAAATTTCATATGGGTGCAGTGTTGCATGACCGCGTAATTGTCATTCAAAATGCGACAGCACTGAAAGCTGAAAATTGGCCTGGGCAGGAAGGGGGTATAAGTGCTCGGCAGGCAAGTGGTTAAAGGCAGGCGTAACAATACAACAGTATGACATGGCAATACATTTGGGTACATATAGTCCAATAATGGCAAAATCCAATAAAAGTGAAGTAATCAGGGACAAGTTACACTGCGGTACACATGTGCAACAGCTAAGACGTGGATGGGTTATTCACAAATCAGGGCCATCAATTGCATATAAAGTGAAAGCAAAGAGACTTGAAATGCTATGTATACCCACAACAAGCAGATAGCAAGTGGGAGGTGTTCATGTAGTGTGGATGACACAGGACATGGTATCGAGAAACTCCTATCAGTCATACCCATGATAACAACACACACCTTACAGACATGTCCAATGGTATAGACAGGAAAGGTGACAAACTAAAGTGTCCAAATAGAAGGGGGAGAAGTAGGAGGGAAAAGAAAAGAAGCAGAAAAAAGGGGAGGACAGGGAGGGGTAGAGGGAATGGTATGAGAGAGGGGGAATCAGGCAGGGGCAACAATGTTACAAGGCGGTTTCGCTACAATTACACTAGTGCGACTTACGGTGCGACTTTGCCAGGCGACTTACGGGCGACTTGAGTACAACTTTTGATGCGACTTTGATACCATGCGACTTTGCCTGGGTAATCTTCCTGTAATGTCGGATCCAAATCTTATCAATATAGATGAGGATCCGACTTGGAGGCGACTTCCATTAAAGCCTATGGGCACAAGTCGTATAGAAGTCGCTTTTAAGTACTACAGGAACCTTTTCTAAAGTTGGAGCAACTTCAGTACAGCTCTCATTGAATAACATGGGATTTCACATGTCATGCGACTTGGGGCCACATAAGTGGGATCCCAAGTCGCGGCAGTGTGATCTGAACCTTATTGATTACATGTTAGGATAGCATTAAAAATTCATCAGAATTCATCAGTCCCAATAGAATCACCGAGCATTATGTTCCTCCTTTTTGTCTCTGAGGGCTGCAGTCAGGTGTTCCACCTGTTGAATGTCATTCACCTGGCAAACCATTGAGAGTTTTGCTGCCACTTTCGGTAAAAAAACAGCAAAACGGACAGATAGAGAGGGCGAATCTCCAACAGCAACAAAAACCTGACAGGTGTTCTAATCCCTCTCCATTCTATCCAAAACTAAAAATGTACACCTCCACCCTTAACTGAAATCCAGATACCTCAACCTCAAAGAGAGGGGTGAGACCGGGAGGGGGGGTGAGAGAGAGGGAGGGGCTGAGAAAGAGGGGTCAGAGAGAGAGGTTTCCTTTAGTCAAGATGGCAGCGCCAGCACCTGACAGCCGATTGAAGAATTGGCTCTGGGTGAGAATCCCGCAGGATCCCTGGACAAGTAAGTGCCTTAATATTAAAAGTCAGCAGCTGCAGTATTTGTAGCTGCTGACTTTGAATTTTTTTTTGGCGGGGGGGCCTTGGGCCGGAACTCTGCTTTCAGGAGAATTAACTGTATATATTCCTAATTCACAGCAGTATGAACATTAACCATGACTACGCATCATATTATATTTTCACACAAATGTAACAGCTTCTGGAATACCCAATATGTGTTACACATGTGCATTTTGGTGGTGCTTATGTTTATGCATGTGAATGGGGGAGGGGTGTGGGTCTCATTTTTAATGTATTTTATTCAACTTTAATTTTTTTATTACTGTATTTTTTACCTCACTTTGTCACTATCAAAAGATGGCTGACAAGCACCTATGTGATAGCATAGTGCAGGTGACAGGTCCTCTTTATGGAGACAGCAGGGATCTATTAGACCCCTGATGCCTCCCTTGAACAGCTTCCAAACAAATAGGCCTCTTTCACATGGGCAGTATGAATCCATGCCCCACTTGATGGCTGTGTTCACTGACCACTTGCGCGCATCCTCATGCAGGCAGTCCCATTGAAGTCAATTGGAACACAGTGGCTGCACAGACACAGCTGCTGATCCTAATGTGAAATCTGGGGCTGTGCACCCACATCCACATAAATGTCACATTGGGAGCAGTGTCTGTGTCCTTGCAGCCTCTGCACCTCAACTGGCTTCAATGGGACTGCGCACATGGGGCTGCTCGGAATACCTGTGCATCCCCATGCTGGTAAACATGGCCGACACACAAAGCACATATGCACACACCCCGCCGATACATGATTTACTATACTAAATAAGCATTCACTTTGCAAAGAAAACAGTCCCTATTACTTTAATAAATCAACCCTAAAATTAAGTAATGACATATATGTAGCGCTACTCCCCTAGGAGCCACTGGTATTTTGCCCAGGTCTTTCCCCAAATGTTCGCCAGCATCCAAGCAAACAGTATTTCCTATAGCCAGGTGCACACAACTTTCGCTCACTACTCCAATGATCAGTCTAGGGGATTTTGTTTTTGTAGTTTTATTGGAGAACAGGGATAGGGAAGGGAAACTTAATAGAATACTCCAAGAATAGAACTAATTGCAGTTGAGAACACTATAGGATCTTAGTCAAGCTTTGGGTGAAATCCTTGCTGAATCAGGTAAGAGATTCTACTTTACAGTCGATGTAACAGTAACGTCAGGTTAGAGCAAAGTTTGAATGGACAGAGCTTTTCCGAACACCAGCCAGTTTTTCCTTGTCTGGACCCTTAGCTGACTCCATGCACCATGAGAGGGTTAAAAGCACAAGTCTAGATCCTTTAGGTTGTCTGTGCTCGCAAAATGTCCAGGTACAGCTGGTTGCCTCCTACCAACTTCCAAGCGACATTCTATACCAGTGATACCAAACCAGACCCCCCCAGCTAACTCTCTGTAGAACCAGGGTCACTCTCTCTGACTTCAGGCCCTCAGGTCGCCCCAGCTGAGGCCTCCTAGCAGCAGATGCCAGGGGAGGCAAGCCCGCCTCAACCCTGGAATGCTGCAATCCACTCCTGGAAAAACACTGAGCTCATGTGCTCACTGAATATAAATACCAGCTCCCAGCATGAAATTGGGCCACCCTCCCCTGAAATTGGCCAGAGCTATATCCATATTCATGCTGTTTATTTGCCTAGTTCTCACCTATGTTCTGGAAGGCTCTAGTGCAGTGGTTCTTAACCTGGGTTCGATCGAACCCCAGGGGTTCGGTGAGTCAGTCTCGCGGGTTTGGCGGAGGTGAAGACCCACACCCGACTCATATGATTCGTGCAGTAAATATTCATTATTTTGTTTTTGTGTGAAAATCATGTTTTAATGGTTTTGTTCTTTGTTCTTAATGGTTTTGTTCATTTTGTGCACCTATGTATAAATATATACCTAAATATATACCTATGTTTTGAATTTGAAAAATCATATTTTATTTTTCCAATTAAGAAGGGTTCCGTGAATGCGCATATGAAACTGGTGGGGGTCAGTACCTCCAACAAGGTTAAGAACCACTGCTCTAGTGGTTTTCGGAAGTCAGGAGGAGCTGAAGGGAAACTCAAACAGCACCAGAGCATCATGAGCAGTCTTGAATAACAGAGTGCAGCACTCTGTTAAGCAGAATGCCAAGGATAAATTTACCCAACAGTCTCACTGATAAGCAGAGAAATCCAGCTATACTGTCCTATCTGTACAAATCCTAACACCTATCTAGGACATCTGCACATAGATTAGGTTGACAGCCCCAAGCTTTAAAAATGATGTTAAAAACAATCAATCTATAAAAATGTGAGTGTCTTGTTCTTACTTAGGTCAGACCTGACCTATTGACCTGAACTAAGTAATAGCAGCAGTGAAGCACAGTCATTGTGCAGCACTACCAAGTGGGGAGCAGAGTCATCACATGCAATGAGCAAACATGGCTGACCCTTAGTGCTCACTGATACTTTATATTATATTATATCATTATATTAAGCCGATCATGTTCTGTTCTTGTATGACTGTGCCCCTCCACACAAAGCTAGCTCCAGAAAGACAAGGTTGGATGAGTTTGATGTGGAGGAACTTAAATGTCCTGCACAGATCCCTGACCTCAACCCTAATGAACACTTTTGGGATGAACCGGAATGATGATTGGATGCCAGGTCTTCTCATCTGACATCAGTAGTCTACTTCACAAATGACTGAATGGGCACGCATTCCTACAAATGCCAAAATCTTGTAGAAAATCCTTCAAGAAGGGCATGTTGAACTGCTAGAGCCATGGTCTGGCTCTCCTATGTGCTGACATCATAGGATATTTTAACTCTTATAGCAACACGTATCAGTATAAAAAATGTAAAAAGCCCCGTATTTATTATTGTATATGTAGCTTGGCTATTGTCAAACTTCAATGTAGTATCATCACGCTGTTACAGGAAATAGAAAAAAAAAATGATCTAATGGTAGGATCGACAGATAAAAAAATGTATGCCATTAGGGGACTCATAAAAAAGAAGTGATAAGGTCCATCTAAACCCAGTTCAAATTCAGCTTTAACACAAGGTTGTCAGTCACTGCTCTCCACTCTGTTCCTCCAGCATTGTGCTGTGAAGGGGGTGGGAGCAGCTTGCTTAGGCTCTCAGTGGCGTGCCGAGAGGCTGAGCCAGCTGCCGGTCCAGGTATCTGGGTGGATCTCATCAACATAGTTGGGTTCCTTCAAGAGTTTTAGCCCCTGATTCTGGATCACAGGAGAACACAATTGTAACACCCTACTATTGTTCAGACTGCAGGATGTTAAGAGACCCAAGGTGGCGGTGTCCAGAAAATCAGTGACACACAATCTGGTAAAAGCTTTATGCACCTAATAGGCTGAACTTCAGGACTTTGTTAGAAGGCAGCTAATTGGGGAGACTACATTTTTCCTAGAAGAACTGACATGTGGGTAGAGACATATAAATATAGTGTGAGATGG